ATATTATATTTTGTGATTGATTCATTGAATTTGTATTGACATGAATCCGTTTGTTTTTACGATTCTGTATGATTCTAAAGGTTCAGTGTGATTTAAACAGCTATTAGCTGTCATTTTTTATGAAAATATTTTATTGATGAGAACAACTATTTGACATTTGACATCGAGTGAAATTTCCTGTCTGGAAATTATCAATAAATAGCAATTTAAAATTATTCAATTTTATGTTGAATGGGGAAATACAATAATGGTCAGGGTTTAGTTAAAAAATCGGAGATATTTTTCATGGTCGCCATCTACATGTAACAAGAAATATAAGTACCTTTAAGATCGAATTTAATTTTTCATAGTCTTTTATTGTTTTTTGTTTCTGAAAATTGTATATGCTTAAGATGGCGACACTTAAAATTAACTTAAGTCTGACCCTTTTTTGTTACAAGACTGGCTATTGGTGTAATTTCTGTTCATGTCAACAATCCAAAGACTCGTAATTTTATCCACTTAGTCTCGAGATTTTAATAAAAATTTTGCGTTGCCAATCGATGTTGATGATGTTATCATCGTTACATCGAGAAATCTTATGAGTCTTTCAAAATTGTCAGTGAAATTGACGGAGATGAGCTGATTCGAACGGATCGTCGGTATGATTTACATAAAATTGCAACGAATCCAATGATTATACAAATGATGACGAAAATTAGTATAAAAAATATATAGTTTCCAAAATAATTTTCACAATAAACTTTCTCGTTAAAAGAATAAGAATCAATTGGCAGTTGGCTATCATTTTGCGATGAATCAATCACATGCAAGTTAAAGCTCAGTTTCGCAATGGAAAGCGTCGTTTCATTCAGATGTTTGTATGACATTTTCAATTCTTTTAGTGTTGGCTCTTGAACAAGTTTATACAATGCTTTATCCAAATTGTCATATAAAACACAGTTCGAGCCATTTTCATTTTCCTCAGGCAAAGGTTTGTCAAGAGTTATTCCAATGCATCCATGGCTAATGTCATTACAGCTGATAATTTTACTGAAAATGAATTAGAATCCAATTTAGAAATAAACTTGAGAATAAATGACCAAAAACAAGACAATCTTACCTGACATTGCTTTTCATGGCTTCAAGTTTCAAGCAATTTTCAGTATCTGATGAAACATCAGTCACGAACCCAGATAGATCCAGCTTTCGATAACTTTTTCTTAATAAATCTTAAACATAAAAAACAAATGATTAATTGCAATAAACTTGATAATAGCTCCATCAATAAACTTACCTACGAAATTAAATCTTTCGATAATTTCGACTGAGGCTATTAGATGAGTGGCATGAAACTGAAATCTAACCGATTTTATCCTCAGATAAAACATTCCAAGCTTGGTATATAATAAAATCTTAAGATTTTCACTAAGTTCATCGAGTTCATTGATCAAAGAATAGGTTTCGATTGGAGAAAGATTTTCTGGCGTGAAGAGTTTACCGAAAAGATAGAAAGAGAATTAAACAAAATTGGAGTCAATTGACAATTTAAGTTAAACTTACTTGAAGGTGATAATCGAAGTTTTAAAACATCCATTTTTGCATCTTGAAAACACTTGTTATTGAGAGTGTAAACTTGATGTTCAGGCTCATAATTCAATTTGGTGTAACCAGAAAAGAATATTTTTAAAGTTTTTACCAATCGATATTCCAATGAAGATTTCTGTAAAATAAAAATGAATTAGAATTGAAGACTTGAAAATTAATTCGCACAAAACATACATTTTCCTTGTTATAAAATTTACGCTCAATTTGGAGATTTTGTAAGATCACGTCTGATGAGATATTTCCGGGCTTGAAATGATAAAATAGTAAATTAAGTTTTGTTCATTTGAAACAATTCTTTCAAAATAAAGTTACCATTCTAGCCACTCTAAGAGTTGTGATCACTAAATCGTGCGAAAAGTTTCCAATTTGTTTGTTTAACTCCATTTTATCCATGATTATCTTGTCCCTGTGTTGATATTTGATTGGCTGAAAAGAGTGTAAATGAATAAAATGTTGAGGAAAAAGGTGGCAAAACTTACGAATAAAATTTCTTTTGTGTAATAAAAAATCCAGGCTTTTCCGAAAAACTTGTGAAAGCTTGAGCTTGCAAAATTGAATGATTCATTCTGATTGCTTGATTGAATTGTACAGCCATCGGCTGTTGAAGTAAATCTTAAACCAGATCTCAAGTCATCTACTTGTTCATATTCAATTCCTGCTCTTTTGGATTTGATCCATGAAATTAGATACATTTTAGCTGCATCAAACTGTAGACAAAAAAATAAAATCAATAAAAACTAGAATAAAAGCAATCGAAACAATACCTGAAAATCAACTGTCGACTGATTTATGTGATCAGTTAGAGTTTCATTGAATCTAGCATAAAAATGCTGCCCACCTGCTATTACTTCACTACCAAGAGCAATAACTTTGACAATTTTAACGGTAATCAAAGGACTATTGTAGGAATTATAAATAGTTATGTTATCCAATTCACCTATGATAACCCAAGGAGTAAGACTTGCTAACAGTTGGAGAGTAAAATATCATTAGTATTGTTTTGTCAGAAAAAAAGATGCTTTGCCTTCTCACCTGTGAATTTGTAGACCCAAAATAATGACTGACCATCATTATTACTCCGATATTTCAACGATCTTTCGTTTTCATTCTCTTGATAGTTGTAAGCATCAAGCAATGAATAGTAATAAGCCGGACCCAACATTAACAGTTTATTGATCAATCTGATTGTTGGTACAGGTAACTGTACTCCATCCCAAGTGAAATTGCGAATACTTTCCATTTCCATGGCACGATTATCTGGATAGCATTGAAATCAGAAGCATTGTTGTATTTGTTAGAATAAGTTTGTAGCTTTAGTCCAACTCACCGAGAATAACGACTCTTTTTGAAATGTTGAGAATGTAATGAACTTGCATCTCGATGTCACCCTTTTGTATCCTGACTACTCCATGAATTAAGGGCTTGAAATAAACTGTTTCAGCCAAGTACCAAGTATTGTTAGATTCCTGAAAAATTAAAACAGTCAATCAATATTGTTTACTAAAAGGACACTTGTTTTTTACCTTATGAGTTATATTGGCTTTAATCAGCAAATCGTATGAACTCGTTCTTATTTCAGTGGCTGATAGAGAAATTATTCATTAAACTGGTAAATCATTTGGATTTGAATGGAGACTTACCTTGATTGTATTGAAATAGTAAAGTGGTGATTACAAGTGAAATTATGATGAAATTCATTTTGTGGAACTTTTAACCCAACAAACATTTGTTGTAATGTGAATCTTTGGAATGATATAAACTCAAGGAAAACAAATATACTCAAGTGATCTTTGATCATCAAAAAACCAAAACGCCCTTTCCGTTTTCATCTTGAGACATAATTAATTAACTAATTAGTCTTCTAAATAAACACATTGCTCAACAAAGCGAGTGATCGATCAATTTCCCTGTTTATATTTTTAATTTCAATATAATTAATGATCAATGTGAACAATGTTATTTATAATAATATTATATTTTTGTAATCACTTTAGCAATCGCAATAACTTGATTCTTTTCAGTAAACTTTTGTTGCGAGCAATCTCGATTGAATGTCTATAAATCGGCATCAACAATAAGGAGACTGTGCTCTTGGAGCCTCAATCGAAACGTACGCATTGACCGACTACACTACAGTAAGTAACTTGCACTGCTTTGTGTGATCATTACAAGATATGTCGATTAGTGGAGTAATGAAAATAATAATATAATATTAATACAATCGTGCATTGTTAAAATATGGTTAATGTTTGATAAAATGGAAGCGACTTGCTTAAAACACATACTTTTATTAAAAGCAATAATTTAAGTAAACAGATTGAAAACATTTCTGATTTCGTTATTGCAATATTTTCAGGAATCAAATGTTTGATTTGAGTAATTTAAGTGAAACCCAATCATGAAAAGAATTAGTTTCGTGTTGAGACAGTTTAAAGTCTAATGCAAACTTAACAAATATCACAATATTGATCAATATGGAAATAAGGGAGAATATGATGAAAAATACGAAAAACGAGTTTGATTGCGTCTTTTCTGGACCATCAAAGCGTATACCATCTCCAATTGTAACACCAACAATAGCAAATTCAATATCGGAATAGTTGAATCGACTTCCATTCAAATTGGAATAAGATTTTCCAATTAATTCTTGCAAAGGAACTTCTGTCAATAGTTTGGTTAAGCTACGATCTGAATTGTTGTACAACATACAGTTTAACCCATTTTCATTTTCATCTGGTAATGAATCTCCATCAGCGATTCCAAGGCATAGATAATGCTCAGTTTCACAAGTTATAACATAGCTGGAAGACAATAAGTTTTAATGTATCATGTAATATAATGCTGAAAAATTAACTGACCTTAGATTGGCTTTAGAAGCTTGAAGACGTAAACATTCATCAATGGTTGATGTATAGATTTGACCAGATTCAGTTGATTTGATGTTGAATCTATGTGAAGCTCCTTTCTTAGTTTCTAAGAAAAAACGTTTCATTAATTGATCAAATCAATGATCTGATTCCAAGAAACTTACCAAAGTAGGTAACAAAAGAATCAACAATTTCAACCTTTGCCACCATATGCGAGTTCAAAAAGTTCAATTTGATCAAATCCATTCTTAAAAACGACACATTCAATTTATCAACGAGAAAACTTCGCAGTGCATCTTTGATGGGATAGATTTCGGCTTGCAATTCGTGAATTTTGTCTGACATCAAATGATCTGTTTATTGCAATGGAAAATATTTTCTCATTATTGTCTAGAAAATAATGATTAAATATAACATTTTTACTTAATAATGAAATCTCTAAACGGAGAATAACTTTATCTTTTCTGTCTTTGAAACATTGATGATAGGAATTGATCAATCGATGAAAATCGTCTTCGTTTAAATAATCTGGCGTTTCGATTAAGCAGATTACTCTGACTTCAGTGAGATTGAAATTGGATGAGATCTAATAGGAAAAAGAACATCATTTGATTTGTATTTCATTAAAATTTAAATCATAGCATACCTTAGTTGGGACGGATTTTGAATAAAGATCCATTTGAACACAGATATCTTCGAGTCTTCCACTTTCTACTAAAAATCTTGACTTGAGATAAGAAATTTTTTTTACT